CAACAACAACAACAACAAAAACAGTGATAATGAAGGTTTCTAACAGATGCACTGACATCAACTTGTTTATGTTTTTATGTAAAATCCTGACCTGGAAACGAACTGTAGCTGTAGAAATAAAGTTTATAACAAAGACCACACCTTCAACTCATCGTTCGCTCCTTCTTTGACTCACACTCTTCCTTTTTGTTTGTTCTTTCTTTCTCATTACAGGAACCACTGAGTCTCTGACCTGTTTGAGCTTCATCCCCCGACCTTCACCTTCATCCATCATACGCAGTAAACCTTTCTAATTCCACATTCTCGTTGGCCTTGGTCTTTGTTAGAGAATGGAAATACTCAAGTAAAGTACAAGTAGTTCGCAACTGAACTGCCACAGCTGCATGAACACTGTGTGCAACCAACTCGTATCCCGGCAGCATTAAACATTCATTTACCCTCAACATAAAATATTGCTGTCTGTATTTTGCAGTTTAGCACAAAGGTTCACATCCATTATGTCTGCCAGCCTGTTTATAATTGTTCATAACTGTGACTGTGCAGCCATTGTTGTTATTGATTGTTCCTTCCTGCAGCCCGAGCTGAGAGCTGACCTGTAAACCCCGAGCTTCCCTCCAGGTCCCTTTCACTGGGAAGAGTTGGATATCTGCGGGTTGCTCAGAGGCAGCGAGACGTAGAGCAGTATTATGAACTTTCTGGTGACTTATAACGTGCACTTAAGTCTGCAAATGCGCCATAAAACTTCCTGACAGTGACACTTTTAAAAGACATTGAAACAGCAGTGTTTGTGTCTGCGGTGGCTTTAATCTGACCCAGAATCAGATCAGACACCAAATGTTAATGAATGTTAATGAGTGCAGAGACTCAGGGAGCAACAACCAGGTACTCGCAGTTACAACAGCATAAAAACTGTGCAGCAACATGATTCATCGCAGGTATGCTCCGAGGAACAGCAGCCAGGGGCGTTTCCAGACCTTTTGACTCGGGGGGGCTCTGACATATGCATGTGACTCAGTTTACCACTCATTCCCAAATTTATATAATTCCAACACTGTTAATGGATCACAGTCTGCAGAAATATTCAAATACACTCGTAAATACACATGTATGCCACATGCAATAAACTAAAAAAATGTGATCAGCATAAAGTGTCTGAAAGGGGAGACTCGTCAGTTCCCATAGAACTCATTTTCATTCAGATATCCTGAGGTCAGAGGTCAAGGGATCCCATGTGGATTCAAAAGAATCAAAAGTAAAGTGAATCTTTTTAAAGCAATATTGAAGCGAAAATAAACTCATCTTGTTTGCAAGCGGCTGAGAAATAAGCGTCCTGATTCTGGAAGCGCTGTGATTGCGTAATTTTTAACTTAAAATGCGAATCTTGTAGTTCTTTAATGAACAAACAAAAATGGCTCCTTGGCTTTAAAATGGAAAGACAGCACGGAGTGGAAGAGGGAAATTTACAAAACATATTTTCTCTTATTTTTATAGAATCCAGTTTTTAGGTATAAACTGCAAAACACGTCTGCACAGCCGCAATATTAGCGAGGTCAGGATCTGCTAGTTAACAATACGTCACTACAAAATTGGCTTAATTCTGATCAGATATGAAGGAATTTTGGCTTATTATTATTAATTATATTATTAATTGGAGGTGATTCTGGTTCAGTTTCCTGTCAGACTGTAATGTGCACCATGTGTTTAGAGTTCATGCACCAGCTCACACACACTAGTACACATTAATTCATTGTTCATTCTGTGTTTTGGCCATTAAGTGTTGCTCTGATTGGCAGTGGCTGTTCTGAATATGTTCTCTATTGGTACGCCTGCAGCATTTTCCAAGCAGAGACGTAGAACTGATGAGCTCCGCCCCCAGTGACTTAATGAATTCCGATCAGGTTGAAGTTTATAACAAACTTTTATTAAAATTGGTTCAGAATTAAGGGATTTACAGTCGATTGTGTAGCACAGTCTTTTTGTCGCTCTGATATCACAACTTATTTTTCATCTCACCGATTTGAATCTTGACATATAACATTAAAACACAGCAACGGGCAAACTCAAGGCTTCAAAATGGTACTCTACAAACCAATGGGTGACGTCACAGTATGGCTCTACTGGGATACAGTTTTTAATAATAACCTTAATTATTATATGTGTTTTTTGTTCTGAGTTTTTTTGTGACGGGTGTTCCTGATGACATTTGTATTTTTGAGTTTTTCTATCATGCGAAGAGGAGGGTGACATAATTCCCAGGATGCAACAGAAAGCACCTATGCACATACCGCAGGTGCTTCAAACGATGGAACTACATCCAAGAATAACTGGACTCACAGCCGAGCTCACATCACTCATCCCCCTAAATCGTCCCCACTGACATAAAAATAACAACCTCCTGTCATTCATTATTAAACTGCGCGGAGTTTCCCTTTAACGCGGAGGTTCCTCTGCTGCTGAGAGTTCAGACAACCTCAGCATGTGAATCCATAACAGGTCCCGCATTAATAAAACATCCACACCGCCCTCTGGCTCTGTGTGTGTGTGTGTGTGGGGGGGGGGGGGCTGTACTGTGTGAAAAGTCACCTGACGTTATCGTTATAGTAAGTTATAGTTTATAAATTCAACCTATAGACTGTATTCAGTATTAATATGATGACAGAATCTCAGATATGAATCACGGACGGTGTATTTATTACCGGGTTTGGCTCCAGCCACTGCTAACATTACTGAATGTCAGGATCTTATTAGTTGTAATCAGTTAGTTTGTGCTTGCGTAAGCACGCGTCACATTTTGTTTTACAGGATTTTGATATAAAAATAGAAAGAAATTGAGTTTTGTTGCTTTGTTTGGCAATCATCATCGTATCATCATGTGACCTGCGAGGGCCCGTTCATCTTTTTGTTTCTTTTACGTGTCTGAAATAAATATAACCAACGTCAGAGAAACCAACAGAGTACCTTTACACTGAGTACATTTGGGAGCCTGTATTATATGTAGTATTTGTTTTGTTGCTTCTGCTCGAGTAAAGAGTGCATACCTGTGTAAACAGGTAGAAAGTCAGGCCGGTGTAATAATACAGTAAAACAGGAAGTGGCTGATTATCAGTCACTCCATCAGTACGTAAGAGGCTGATTTTGTTTTCCGTTCCTCTCTGTGTAATCAAACGCCTCTCACTCCTCCTCTTGTGTGAAATCAAAGACTCTAATTGCCACGAATCACCGCGGCGTCTCAGCGTGGTCTAATTAACACAGCCGTCAAAGCAAAAGGTCAAATTAACTTCCTCCTCAATCATTCTTCCCCCAGTTCTCTGGAACACCTGAGTGAACCAGGAAGTCCTCGGCTGTTTTATTTATGCCGCACGAGCACACCTACGGGTCCGGGTTCAGCGGCGCCGGCCCCGTTCTGCTCGCTGTCAGCCTGAATTGTTTGCCAAAGCAGTTTTAACAAAAGCACTTAAGACAAAAAGCACTTTACGGAGCGCCGAAAGGCCCAAAATAACACGTTGCATCAACTCAGAACACATTACGGGAAAATGAGTTCATATGATTTCACTGCGGGAGAAGATCTGAGTGCAGCTAAAGGAGGAGGTGAACTGAGGAGATCCCTCCTTCTTTTCACCTCTCATTTGCCCCTTTCTCCTTCTGTGAACTCGTCCTTCCTCTTTTATCCTCATCTTTCACAGCTTCAGTCCTTCTTCCACTGCATCCTTTTCAAAGCTCATTTTACTCCTCTGTTCCTCACCTTTTCCCTCAACCTCTCCCGCCCCGATCTCATTTCTTGCTTTTGTCGTCAGCGAATATTCTGTGTCACAGTTTTTACTGACAACAAAAATAAGTCAAAAACAATTCACATTTTTGTCAACAAATAAAACAGAATAAAAACAGTAATGTGACAGACGGACAAATTAAATGTCAGCAACTTCACCAGCAAAGAAAGAATTTTCTACAGTTTTTTTTTTTTTTTACTGTATTTTAGGATTTTACAAATTTACAACACAGTACTCGTCGTCACAGTTTTGTCATTAAATTACTGTATTAGTTTAGTTTAATTAGTCCTTTAAAGTAAAAATTGTTTCAAAGAGGAGCAAAGAACAAAACAAAGAAAATAAAAATAAACAATGTTTGTTCTGGTCTAGTTTTTGTGTTGTACTGTGACATATTTCTGTTTTAATAAATGTTTGAAAAGGAAGTGCAGTTAAATTATCCCTTTGTAATTTCTTCATTATTATTATATTATTATTATTATTATTACAGTAATATTCTTTCAATAGGAGGATACACTGTAAAACATTTACCTACTGTAAATATGCAGTAATTCACTGAACTGTGACCAGTATTCACTGATGATGATCACAGACGAGTTGAAACTGTGCAGCCAATGACAGCAGCTCAACTCGCAGTACATCACCTCCGTTAGCTCCAACAAATATATCAGTATCACCAAACTGGAGGCTCCAAAAGGGGACTCCACAAACCGATGGGTGAAAAAG